TATCATTATGTAATATCTTTTTTTATAATCTTTGTCTTAAAGTATATTTTATCTGATATAAGTATAGCTACTCTAGCTTTCTTTTGGTTTCTACTCAGTCTGTGTCCTTATATTTTAAATGAGTCTCTTGTTGGCAGCATATAGATGGATTTTTTAAATCCATCCGTCCACTCTGTCTTTTGGAGAATTTAGTCCATTTACATTTAAAGTAAGTATTGATACATATGTGCTTTTTTATGTATTGTTGATTGTTTCCTGACTGTTTTGTAGTTCCTCTGTTCCTTTTTCTTCCTTTGTGATTTGATGTTTTTCTGTAGTGGTATATTTCAGTTTTTTCTCTGTGTGTGTGTTTATGGGTGAGGGTGTGTGTGTGTGTGTGTGTGTGTATCTACTGTAGGTTTTTGCTTTGTGGTTACCATGAGGCTTACATAAAACAATTTATAACAGTCTGTTTTAACTTGATAACAACTTAAGTTTGAACACATTCTAAAACTCTACAGTTTTATTCCCTCACCCCTGTGAAATGTTTTTTGTTATAGATGTCACAATTTATATATTTTATCTTGTGTATCTGGTAACAAATTACTGTAGTTATCATTATTTGAATACTTTTGTCTTTTAACCTTCATACTAGCTTTATAAGTGATTAACCCTCCACCTTTCTAACATGAGATTCTGAATTTTACTATACATTTACCTTTACCAGTGAGATTTACACTTTCATGTGTGTTCCTATTAATAATTAGTACCCTTTCATTTCAGCTTAAAGAAGTCCCTTTAATATTTCTTGTAAGACCAGCCTAGTGGTGACGAACTCCTTTTGCTTTTGCTGCTCTGGAATACTATTTCTCTCTCCAATTCTGAAGGACTTATTCCTGGCTAGAGTATGCTTGGGTGACAATGTTTTTCTTTTAGCACTTTGAATATATCATGCCACTCTCTTCTGGCCTCCAAATTTCTGCTGAAAATCTGCTGATAGTCTTATTAGGGGTTCCTTTGTACCTAACAAGTTGGTTTTTCTCTTCTTTTTAAAAATCTCTCCTTGCCTTTAACTTTTGACAGTTTAATTATAATGTGTCTTGGTGAGGTTAACTGTGGCTTCACCTTAGTGGGAAGTTTATGGGTTTCCTGGATCTGTATGTCTGTTTCCTTTCCCCAGGTTGGAGAAGATTTCAGCCATTATTTTTCCAAACAAGATTTCTGCCCCTTTCTCTCTTTCTTCTCTTTCTGGGACCCCTATAATGTGAATGTTGGTCCTCTTGATGATGTCCTATAAGACTCTTAAGCTCTCCTGACTCTTTTTTCATTCCCTTTTCTTTTTGCTGCTCTGATTGGATAATTTCCACTGTCCTTTCTTTGAGTTTACTGATCCTTTCTTCTGGTTCATCTAGTCTGCTTTTGAAGCACTTTGTTGTACTTTTCACTTGAGTTATTGCATTCTTCGATTCAATGACTTCTATTTGGTACTTTGTATTTTGTATCTTTGTGAAATTCTAACTTTATTCACTTATTCTTCCAATTGGCAGTCATTTTTATAACCATTATTTTGAACTCTTTGTTAGGAAAATCACTAATCTCTATTATGTCTTTTTTCTGAAGTATATTACCTTATTCTTTCATTTGGAACATATTCCTCTTTTTCTTCATTTTTCTTGACTCTCTGAGTTGGTTTCTATGCATTAGATAAAACAAACACCTCTTCCAGTCTCGAAGGAGTGTACCTTACTTCTAAAGCTCTGAGTGTACCTTATCTTTCAACCCTGCCCTACCTCTTGGTTGTCTTCAAATCTTGTTCAAGTAGCCCACTTTATTCTAGTGGCTCCAAGTAATTGAGGATGTGACAAGACTGGTCAGTGTCCCAAAGGGCAGGATCTCAGTCAACACTGACAGTGAGGCTATAGCACGAGACCCTCAGGTAATAGTTTTCAACCTCTTTCAGGAGAAGATTAGGTGATGGTTATTTCTGTCTGCTCCCTCTGCACTGGTCCCTAGGTAATAGCCACTTAAGAACTGTTTCTTTCTTTGCTACGATCCTGTTGAACTCAGGAACACAAGCCCTGCTGGCCATCAGAGCCAGGCTATCAAGGGATGTGCCCTCTCGGCAACAACCTCAAAAGCCTCGGTGCCAAATGTATCCATAGCTCCTTTCTTTAAAGATACCAATTACCTGGGGTAGGGTTAAGAGGGAGCACATAGATGGTGATGCCAGCCTCCCCAGTCTCTGGAGAGGATTGTTGTTGGCCCCTAGATGTGTGTTTAATTACAAGCCTGCCTCTTATGCCATAGCTATGAAAATAAGCTACTGGGTCTTTTTTCTCAGAAAGACTATGGGTATGTTCCAGTCTGCCATCTCTGTGCTGTGCCATGGGGGTGGGAGCCTACCTAGTTAAGAACTCTTTCTCCATGGTCCTATGGGGTCCACAAATGTAAGCCCCCTGGCCACTAGAGCAAGGCAATACAGGGATGTCCGCTGCTTTGCCCTGTACTTTGGTTGCATTTTGTACCTGAGTTATTGAACCATTGTCTGGAACAATGACCATGTGTATAGCAGTTGTTTGTTGGAATGTTTATTTCCCCTACCTGGTTGTAGGCTCCTTAAATATTCTCTCTTCTTTGTATTCCAGGCTCCTAGTATAACCCATCTGGCACACAGAAGGCACTAAATAAATAGGTGTTAAGTCCTGGATTGACTAAATGAACCTTCACCATCATGAAGTGGAGGGTGGGGATTCTCTCCTTTTATCCATGTTAAATGTCTCTGGCTCCTTCATCTAATTTCCCTCTTTGAGTTCATTGGAGCCCTACTTGCCCTGGTACATGCCCCTTGGTAAGTTGTAAAACAATTTGAGTGGCACTGACCTGTGCCACCTCAAAATAACCCTTATCCTTATCTCCTATCCATGGCTTGGGTGTTGTAGTTCTCTCTATTCTGAGACTTATTTTCTTTGTGTTCTAGTATATTGCTTGGGGAGTAATTTTTTTTTTTTTCCTAACTGCTTTGATAATTGAGATGAATGGGTAGATGAGTAAATGAAGGAAGGAAGTCTAGATAGGTGTCAGCTCAAAAACCTCATTGTCTTCTCATGTTCTTTATCAGCATGTACCTTCACAAACTTGATTTCACAGTGGAAAGGCAATTTATAGTCTCTCCAGGGGACCTTCATTGGTTCAGATCTCTTGTTTACGAAAATATTTTAAAAGGTGGTGTTCCCTCATGTTTTGTTTTTTTTAAAACCCTTATTTTTAAGCACCAAATTCTATTTTTCACTTAATATATTCTGCCTTCTTGCATTTGAAATCCCCATTATGGTCTTTTTGGAGTCTTTGTATACATTAAAAATATGCTAACAATTTTACTGTTTTCAATTTTCTTTATACATTTTGCTTGTTTCAACTTAGTGTGGATTCTATTCTGCTAATTATTTTTGTCAAAGTTAATATTATCTGTAACCACATTAACTGCTTGCTAGTTCATGAACAACTTTGTTCACAGGGATTTCATTTATTGCAAATAATGGTGACAAGGTCAGATATGTTGGTCAACACTCACAGAAAATCAATTATCAGAGCCAAGAATTAAAATGTTACTGTCAAGTAGGTATTTAAGGATTATCTGCTTCCTTATTTATTTTCCAACTAATCCCTTCCTGAAAGAAGCCCTATGTGAGATGATTTGCACCACATGTTTTTTTAAGGAATGCATAATCAGGAGTGCATTTGTCAAAAATATGCCATGCATGGGACACCTGGGTGGCTCAGTCAGTTAAGCATCTGCCTTTGGCTCAGATCATGCTCCCAGGGTCCTGGGATAAAGTACTGCATCAGGCTCCCTGCTAAGCAGTCTCCCTCTGCCTGCCACTCTCCCTGCTTGTGCTTTCTCTCTCTCTCTCTGACGAATAAATAAAATCTTTTAAAAATTGCCGTGCATTTTTAATCCATGTGTACACAAATTATAATTTGACAATGATAATCTTGAATTGTTTTATTGTTCACCTGTTTTAATTTTTTCTTTTCAGATGATTTCTGCACATTTACTAATAAATCATTCAATGATACTTCCCATTTGTTATTAGTATCAATGTCAACAAATAATTCCATCTTGAGCATTAAAGTTTCCATAAAACATACTGAAATTTATCCCAGTGATCTCAAATAGCTTTTTGTTGAGTTTTCTTCTCATTCAATTTGATTCCATAAATACTTACGGGACATTAAAGAGAGGCAATAATAAACTACAGCTCATCCAAGATGAGTTCACAGGAATGGTGGGGGCTAATGATTTTCTAGTGACTTAAAGTTCTAGGTCTTTTCAGTATATGACTTCCTATGAATTTTGGTTAGGCCAGATCTGTCATTTCAGAAATAAGTAAATATGAGGTTTTTCATTTCTGTCTCCTGCACGTCAACTTGTTTGGGAACAGTCTATATTCCATACTCCTAATTGTCATATCCAATGTATTATTTATTTCTGCCAATTGAAAAATGTGATAAACATCCCTTTTGCTTGCCCAGATTGTTGAAAAAAATTAAATCATAATAGGAATAATTACATGGGAGGTGCTAAGGAGGCCATCCTTGTGTTTTGTAGCATTATTAATTCTTAACCATGAGGAGAGCTTACCTTGCTTAAATGTCTCCCAGGAGAAACAATAAAATGTAGTTTAATTTTTTGCTGAAACTACTGCCTTAATGCATGCTATAATAATATGCTGTTGAGAACAATTTTTTATTGTTAACAGTATTGTCCATAGATTCAGATTCATTCTTTTCTATTTTTGTAGGAAAGAGCATTTCTTCAAGGATAATGGTAGCCAGTTGTTTTTTTTTTTTTAATGAAATGAGTAATATTGATACCCTAGTCTCTTTTGAAAACCTTCCAGTTTTCACTTACAGCATTTTATTTGTTTTACACATTCATGGAGTATATCATCAGTTTATTTTGTTGTTATTTTATGATACCTAAATGCAAACATAATTTTTTTCAATATTTTTACTTTCAGAATATTTTTCCCAGCACTTGGGTGAATATGAGAATGTGCTAGCAGCACTTGAAGACCTAAATCTTTCCATCCTGAAGGCAATGGGCAAAACAAAAAAAGTAAGGAAATGTTGGTGTTTATTTTCTGTAAATCTCTTCTTTGAAAAAAATTTTCTTAAATCCTATTTCCTAACGTATCATAAAAGTATACATTGGTTTTTATCACTGATAACTTTCTCAATATTAAATGAGCTATTGTAGTCATTCACAATACAATTACAAAATACTAGGTGTCAGAATCTGCTTTTTGCTGAGGATACAAAGATACAAAAGCTGTTCAGCTCTCACTGTGGTCACGAGACAAGTGTGTAAACAAACAATTGCAATATAGTACAACAGAGGGAAGCACAAGATGGGGCACCCGATTCATGTTGGAGGAGGTGACACCTGAGCAATTACAGATGAAATTATAGCTAGGAAAAGGTGAAACAAACACATGGAACAGCATATACAAAGGCCCTGTGTTGGAAGGGGCAGAGGGGAGGAACAGGGCTTTAAAGTAAATAAAGATGGTCAATAAGGTTAAAGTCTAGAACACTGAAGAATGGCATGATGTGAGATGTAACATGTGGTAGAGAGGGGCTGTACCTTTCGTGATTTTGTTGGTGAACCTGAGGATTTAGACCTGTATCCTAGATGCAAACATTTTCCAGTGGCAACTAGTGCCACTGGAAATCAGCCACATTTTCAGCAAAGATACGGAAATTCATGCAGCCTTTTGAAAAGACCATATGAGAATGAGCTTGAGATTAGGGTGGGTGGGGAATGTGGGGAATAGGGTCGGGAAGATGAGTGAGGAAGCTAGTTCACTAACCCAGGTGAGGGATGTTGGTAGTTTAAAGGTATTGGCAGATGATATGGAAGAAAGGAAATTAACTGTACTTATGTTGAGATCCTATCAGTAAAACTTGGAGAAGGAATGAATATGGGTGATGGGAGGACACATCCAGGATGAATCCTGGTTTTTAGCTTGTATGCCTGGGGAATGGCACTACCCAGACAGAGAATGCTGCAAGAAGACCAGGTTTGAGGAGGTAAGATTATAAGTTCTCTCTTAGACATGTTGAATCTAAACTGCTTCGGGGACATCTAAGGAAATTCAAGTAAATAATTAGATGCATGGATCTAATCTGAGAGGTGAAGTCTAGATTGGACATATGTTTGTGAATTGTTAGTACTTAGGCAGAGAACTTGAATGACATCATCTGGAGAGAGAATATATAGTAGAAAAAGGAGAGGACCTAACACTGAGCTTAAATGAACTTCAAATTTTGTTGGTGGGTGGAAGAGAATGAGCCAGCATAAGAGCCTGAGAAGGTGTAGGCATAAAGAGGAGAGGGAATCTGGGAGATTGTAGTGTCCAGGAGTTGGGGGAGAGTATTCCATGAAACACAGAGTGGTCGATAGCATTGACTGCTATGGAGGGGTCAAGAGAGATGAGACTTATCTGTCAATCAAAAGAGACGTTAGCATGTGAGGTATGTAACAAGAAATAAAAATTTTTAAAGCTTACATGGAATTTCCGGATGAGGACAGCAGATGTATGTGTACGTCACTAAACTCTGCTTACTCCCGAAGCCCCCAAAGAAAACTAAAATAAGATGTTTTTAACGGGGAAGTGACAGAAGTTGGGAACTGAAAGGCCAGTGAACAAGTGGTCGCTAGGAGCAGGCCTGACACGTTTGACAGCTTGACTTGTAGTGGAAAAGCAGAATGCCCCAGCTTGGTTCTTAGAAAGGCTCAGGAACTTGGCACTAGTTGCCACTGGAAAAGGTTGGGAATGGTCGGGCTAAACCAGGGGGACCTGTTGGAAATCTGTGATTGCCTGCTTTTCTCCACCCAGCTGAGCAATTGCCTCTTGATCCACCCAGCTAGAAAACCTAGACTTGTTCCCTGAAATGGTTAAAGGAGGGGGTCTCTGCCCCACAGCTGAGGGATTAAGTAAAAGTTTACAAACTAAATGAAAAGACCTCCAGTTTTCTTCCCCAAATTTAACTCCCAGAATCTTGGCCCCTCAGAGGGTTGGCATCCTGCAGCAGACAGAAAGAGGTTGTCTCTGAGAAATCTTACCAATGCAATTGGGAGTCTCTCTCCTGGTAGGTGGAGCTCAGCCTGCTCTCCCTCTTCTTCCCTTGAATCCTAAAAACTTGTCCACAGCCCATCCTTAAAGATGCACAGTCAGCCAAGTGTCATCAAACTTCTTACAGGAAAGGTGGAGACCAAGACAAACCAGAAATGGGGGAGGGAGGAAGGAATGCACAAAGTAATACAGGGGCCTCAACAGGAAGATGAAAACCCCCAGTCAGTCTCCTCAGCCTCCTCAGAGGGACAAGGGAAGATGCTGTTTCCATGAAAAATAGGGTGACAGAACATTCAAGAGCTCTTTGAAATTAAAACAAGAGAGCAGAAATAAAGACTTAACGGAAATCCGGAAAATAAAGTTTAGAAACTCTCCAAAAAAGTGAAGCAACAAAAAAAAGCATAAGCAAATTGGAGCATCAGCCTAAGCTGTCCTATATCCAAATAACAAATTCCAGAAAGAGAGAACAGAAGAATAGAGTCTGAAATACATTTTCTCTTGATCTGTTAAGGTGTATTTGGAAAGTGCATAAGATTTTACTCCTTGGGACCTTCCCTCCAGAAATGGTAATTCTTTCAAACCTCTGCTTGGTGTGGCTGGCTTCTCTCCTTATTTTTTAGGTCTCACCTTTAATATCATGTCCTCAAAGAGGTCTTCTCTGACCACCTTATCTAAAAGAGGTTGTCTCTGAGTATCTCCTGTTCCTTGCTGGCAATGATCAGAATGAGTAACTATGCATTTTGTTTTCCTTGTCTGTAAAGAGGGAGAAGGCTGGTACCTTTTTGGAATACCCAGAGCCTCACATAGAGCCTGACAAAATGTACTCAAAAATTTATTGATTGGTTACATAAATTGACTTAAATAGATATTCATACAGCTCTAAAACTAAATAATTTACTCCTGAAAGAAAAATCGCTCCTAAGTCCATCTAAGAGGTGTTCAGATATCCTTTAATTGGAAGGAAAAGCAAGTATATAATCCTTATTTTCTCACAAATTATACTAAAATCATGTTGTTTGAATTAATACAGTGGGGCTTTATGGGATTTAAATCAAGATCAATCTGTTATTTTGGTCTTCATTACAAAACCTATTTTTTTTAAGATTTTATTTATTTGTTAGCACAGGAGGGGGGCAGGGTCAGCGGCAGAAGCAGGCTCCCTACTTAGCAGGAGAGCCTGATGCGAGGGTCAATGCGGGGACTCTGGGATCATGACCTGAGCCGAAGGCAGACGCTTAACCGACTGAGCTACCCAGGCGCCCCCACAAAACTTATTTCTTAACAACGACCCTTAAAAATGCATTTGATCTATATAATCATATTGCTTAATCAAGGACAAAAAGATTTTTTTAAGCGGTCAAAATAAAATTAGGAAAGCTTCTTTGTGTGATAGCTCAAAGATGAGTGAAATGCAGGAGTTTGACAGGTTTTTCAAGCTACTGCTGAACCGACCTCTCCGTACTGTCTAGCACAATGAACCCTTCCGAGTGAGAAATCCAGCATTTCTTTTTGAGAATCTCTCTCTATTTTTACCCAGATGAAAAGTCCTGTCTCAGTAGGGAGGGCTGACTGTTCTAGGCTTTTATGAAAAGTGAAATGCAACCCATTCGTGCAGTACATCCGTCTGCTGTGTCAGAGAATGGAGAAAATGGATTCCAGCTGCTTAACTTAAACCCCAGGAGGTGACTCAGGATGGATACAGTCTGTCAGTTCCCCTCCTCCTCCTGTTCCCTTAACCCAAGCCTTTCTCTAGGTCCTCAGGGGTTACCTGCATGATTATTCTACTTTGCTTATTTTTCAGAATAAACACCATGGGTCAAATTCTAAACGGTCATTTGAAAGCCTTGAAAGTAGCTAAAAGCAAAACTCCCTATCTGGCTTTGGGATGTCACACAAAAAAAATACTGGGTTTGTCTGTTCGTTTTTCTTTCTACAGTGGGATAAGAAGCTAATGTACATCATTAGTATGTGATGTGCTTGCAGTCTCAAAGCAAATGTAGAATTCTGATGCTGCAGTTAAAAGTCATCTTGTGTCATTTATATAAACAAAAATGGAATTCTGGGTTCCCGTAAACCTTTCCTGGTAAGGCTTAAAAAGGAAATGGTCATAAGCTAAAGTGAAGAATGGTATTCTTGGGGCGCCTGGGTGGCTCAGTCGGTTAAGCAGCTGCCTTCAGCTCAGGTCATGATCCCAGGGTCCTGGGATCAAGCCCTACGTTGGGCTCCCTGCTCAGGGGAGAGTCTGCTTCTCCCTCTTCCTTTGTCTGCCTCTCTGCCTACTTGTGCTCTCTCTATCTCCCTGTGAAATAAATAAATAAATAAAATCTTTAAAAAAATGGTATTCTTAAAATAATTACGTAGTTTGTGAGTAATTACTTCACCTTGATGAGTGAATCTGGAAAAATGTCCAAAATTAAAATGTATACATATTTTATAGTTTTCACCTGGAAGTCATTTTTCAAACAGGTACATTCTACATCTTCAACTATTTTAAGAAAAAAATAGACTTGAGTCCTAGTATCATTGGGTCTCTGTTTTTCCCTTGCTTCTTAAATCTGCCTTTGGGATCTGTAGACACCTTCATTTTAACCTTCCCATCTCTTCTTTGTCCCTGTTTCCTTATATTTAGCATCTGGGCCCCCTGGGCTCCATATTCCTTTCACTTGTTAAAACCCACCATTTTTTTCATTTATGAGAAAAAGAAGCCTGTGTGTGTGTGTATGTGTTCTTCTATGAAGAAGAAATAGTAAAAGGTCTCAGAATTCCTGTCTGGGGGAAAACATCATTAATTGCTACAATTTTATGCAGGATTTATCATTAAAATAAAAACTTAAAAATTTCCTTTGTTTCAGGCAAAATATAGGAACTGATATTGTACCATGTGTGGAATAGTTAAAACACCTTCACAGGCTTATAGAAGGCAGGCCCTTAATTCTTTATGGTTTCATTATAATCCTTTTAAGTATTCTTTAAAATGAAT